TTCGCATTTGGTTTAATAACTTTACTCTTCACTCCTTGAAAACAATAATATTTTATGGAACTTTCAACATTATGATATTACTTTAGAAATCTTGTAAGCTTACCGACTCCTCTTCCTTCTCCATGCCACTAGGCATTTGTGGCACAGCACGATTTATAGCCGAATATTCAGGCAAATCAGGCAGCTCCTCTGCCAAGTAGATGGGCATCTGCTTGGAGGGATCGAGCGCACGCGCTCGAAACGATAACTTCGACATGATGATATTACGACGATGTGTGGTGTGTATGTATGTTATTTATTAATGCAACGGTGGTTACTGGTTTTTGACTTCTATTACGTTTCCTGACTCTTCTTGCCCTATTCTACTCAATCGCACGTTTCGTTAGTAGACGATTTGATTATGCCAAGGACAGCTGATCGATAAGATACGTTTTATGATTTGGATTGTTAATGATTATTTTATGTTGTTGATGAGCCTGCTTGCCTGCTCTGCTAATGAAGTTTGTTCTTATGAAATTAAGAGCTCTCCGCTTTCTATTATCTTTTCTTTGAATATTAATCTAATTTAAGCGTACTTTTTCACGCCAACAATCAAATGCTGAAGCTTTCGCGGTTGTGACGTTGACTTTCGTTGTTGCACAAAAACGTGTAACGTCGACGATAAGTCTAAATTTGTGTTGGAATGCGTCGACTGCTGCTTTYCCTGCAGCAGCGGCGTTAAACTGCTACTAAATAGCCTCTGTGCTGAAGAGCTAGAAAACGGCTTCTCTTCGCTATTAAGCGGGTGCTTCGAGGTAAAGGAGCTGTGTTTAAAAATGTTAYGGGGTGTAAATGTAAGATGCAAGGAGAGTTGCGTGAGATCCACAAAATCCGGTATTATAACCACCGCTTCAGCTCCTTCTTTTGCAACTTTTATTGGGGTAGTTACACCTGGTCGCCAAGTGTAGATGTTAGTATTTGACAGAAAAAATACCGACCTTCGCGGACTGCAGCTATCGTTGTTGATGCTGTTTCTGTAGTTGTTAGTACTTATTCGATAATTTTTCTTATCGCTTTTCGCAAAACAACAATATTCTCTTTCTCGATGTTGTTTTTCCAACTGTGGTTGCTGCAGCAAACGTCGATCAGTAGTAATGGCTGAAGCTCTATATTTTCTGTTGCTGTTGCTTTCCCAACAATTGCTACTGCTATCCTTGTAGACACTGAGTTGGTTGGTAGTTTTAAGGGGAGTGAGAATATATGTATCGGAACTTTGGCAATTGTTGTTATTAATAAGATTATTTTCTTTTGTAAACGCTCCAGTACACAAAGCTGATTTATTGAAGCAGTGTTTAACGCTACTCAGRGGATACTTTGGGCTGTTTAATTTTAGTTTTGATTTAAAACTGCAGCAATGATTATGATAATGCTGTTGATGGTTAGGGCAAGATTTATTGTTATTGATAGTTTTCTTGCTGGCGCTGCTAGAATTTCCGTATAGCGTGGACAACAGCGTTGATATCAACAACAAAATGTAGGCGAGAAATTTATTGCAATTACAGCACTGCGGTGGTAGCAACGACAACGACGAGCGGTGCAGCAATGGAATCGACGACATTTTTCAAGTTGAAATCGAAGAAATCAAATGAATTGGCATAATTACGTWGATGATTTTTGCACATTTCATTGCAAAATTGTATTTCTCTTACACTATTATTTAAATATTATTATCACACTAACACGTTTCTTCGTTTTTATTTATACACAATGTTTTTGCAGTCGTCTAATTTTTTTGTTGCCACTTTTTTTGCTATATCTTCTGCTGTTGTTTTCTTCAATTGTGCTGATAGTAAACTTCGCCTCTTGTTTCTCCTACCGGCGAGTATATCCTCCTCTTTTATTTTAGGTCTGCTCTTTATAATTTTGCCTCCATGGTTACTTTTATAATTGTTATACCATTTTTAGTTCAATTTAATATCTGCATTAAAACGGAATTAATAGTAAATATATTCTTTCAAATTAAAATATTTGATTTTTCCGCTTTCATACACATTGTTGTTGTGTATATTTTTATTGTATGCTTTGTATCACTTTCCCGGCGAATTGAAATGACAGCTGCATAAGAATGCATTGTCAAAAGAAATTTGAAAATAAAGAGATCTCTTTTTAAAACTAAATTTCGTCACATTTTCGTTGCTTCCATTGCGTTATATTATAATGGGCATTTAGATAMATTTTAAGAAAGGTTACTTATGAACCTATTTCTGTTGAATAATTTAAATGGCTGGAAGCGGCTTACAGGTAGGCATACGCACTTTCCCGCATTTTTAAAAGTCTATAAACAAAAAAGTGGTTGCAACACCTTTTACAAACACAAACTCGATTTTCCAAGCGAAGGCATAGCCGGGCGGGATACCACGACGCTGTACGAAGCGTTACGGCGAACTCGTACAAAACAAATACTACCCGGCGAATTCACAAATGCTTGCTCAGCATTAATACAGCGCCGAAAAAAACACGGAAATTGAAGAAACGGGGCACCATAACGTAAAAAATAAACGCCTAATTATATTTTYTTGCGCACTCAATTAAACTTTAATTCATTCAATGACGACGCAAATTTGTCAATTATATTACAAATATTCGTTTAAACCACACATAAAACTTTAAACACTTAAACTTTTAAGAAAATTTAGGAAGAAAAATCACAATTTTGTGGAATAGCGTGGTTTTGGCATAAAAGCCATAATGGCGGAAGACTAGTCGTCGACGATATTCTCGTCAGCGTTCGCGCTAACCGACAAGGAGAATATGCATGGGCATATAAACGATAGCGACTGTTATCGCATTTACACTCAAGCCCATAAAGCCAAATGCTACACAAACGTAGAGAAAAGTCGAACAGAGCCAAAGCAGAAAACACAAAACACAAAAACATGCTACAATAAACGACAACGACAACGACCGAACCGAGCACGTTGCTTTACTCCGAATCATTATTATATACACACTATTTTCAACTCTTTTTCACACACGTGTTTTACTATACACTATATTTTCGATTTTTTTCCGAAAACTACATATTCAGCGAAACTACTCGCACCTCAATCCGAATTTTCGAACAGCCATTGCTCCGCGCACGCTACCCAGCGACCGTTACACACACCAATACATCCCTCCCACCACTACACCAAACTAGGAACGAGACGCGTAGTTTATTAGCGTATTTTGACGAACTGGTAATTTCATGTTCGCGTTTTTCTTATCGGTTACACACTACACCTTCAGCTATCCACTTCATACAAAGCGTAAACCCCTCTTACAAAAACAAAATTTTCCGAACTAGATAGCTGGGCTAAGCACACTTCGTGCACACACAAATACACCCGTGCAAAACACGAAACGCAATATAATCTTATTCACTACCGACCTCTCGTTCACACCACATCTTTACGGCAGGTGTGCGAGCGAGAAACCAATACAATGACCATTATTTTTCGGGTCGGGTAAATGGCGAGCACCATGAAATTTTTTTTCCACCAAAATCGATCAAATTCGATTAATTCATACTTTTTTCACAACGTATTTTCTGCACTTAAACTCTGCTACTTTCACATATTTTATATGCGAAACAKTACGCGCAATCGTTAATTGTAAATATCAATTAGATTTTGGAAATAATTGCCACTTTTTGCGTTAAAAATCGTTGCCAATTGTGCAACGACACGACTTTTTCACAGGGGCACGTTCTTCACTGAACGTAATGGCGGCTCGGCTAAAATCTTTCCGAATGCTTTCGGAGTTGTAGTGCTACTTGCGAAATAACAGAAATTAAAACACCTTATTAGAGGGCATAAAACATAGTCAAAATTGTATGCAAGTACATGAAAAAATCGACAAAATTTAAAAATAATTATTGGAATAATGGTTTTGAGGTGTCAATATGGTTTAGGCACAAAATTCTTAAATAATCTTACTTGTTGGCATTTCCTTCTAGTAGCGAATGTTCGAAAGCATATATTCAGCGCCAGCGAGTGTGTTCAGTTGAACAGGGTGTAGTGTACAGTATGTAATTTCAATTACAATTTTGTATTAAACGTATTATAAAATATAGTTTGGTGATTACAAACTTTTCAGAATATTTCAATCTCTTTTTTATTAAATATGTAAAATTTAGATCAAAAACCTATTTTAAATAACACACGTTTTCTTATAAATATATTTCTATATGTATGTTTATATACATGTATGTTAATATACATACATATGTTAGAAATAAAATTTTCTCTGCGTYTTTATGTTGAGCAGAGCCTGTTAATCCAAACAATTTTAACTGTGTTCTATTATAAATAAGTACTTATAATTACCGTAAGAGACTTCTCTTTACTTGTTTTTATAATTCAAATATTTTCGTTTATATATATACCATTTTTAAAACAGGTAAAATATATTAAAAAATTTCGAACTACATCTAGCAAGCAATTCCATTTTTTGAAACAACTTATTTTTAGCGCCATCTATGCAAAAAGTTATGCGTCTAAAGGAGAACCAACCGATAATCACACATTTTCATAGAGAAATTTGCAACTTTTCTAACTGCTTACTCCCTTACATATATTATAAGTATATGGATATGCCAATAAAAGTTATATGGAGCGTACGGCTCCTTCTCAAACCGTTTATACTCAGCTATGCTCAATAGTTTCAAGGCTATTATTATTTTCATAACTCTGTGCGATAAGACATAGGTGTGCGGTATTAAAATTCTCCGATATCGGCGCTGATAAGAAAGCTCACCTGTGCAAAAGTGGTACGAGTAAATAAAAAAATGTTGAAAAAAGAACAAGCAGCAAGTTATACAAATACAAACACTAACAATACAAACTTGCTAAACGTGCAAAAGCAAGAGAATATAATTCAGATTAGGAATTGATAACTAACGAAATTTGTGGAAATTATTGACATGTTCGTAATACTTTTTCTTAACTGAAATTGGAAGTCAGTCGATATTACGTGTTCAGGGCGTACACATATACATAATTCCTAGTTTTTAGTGCGTATTTCGTAACGGTTAAATAATGGCTCATTGTTTGTTTCCACAACTATGAATTACGTATATTTTAAAGTTTGACGGTTAATGTTATCGATTACACCGTTTTAATCGATTATTTACTTAATATAATAATTATGTAATGCAAGACTTCGGCAGAGTAACGTATTTGTACTTGAATGCGATTGCGGAATCGTGAACATAATTCAAAATTTATAAATCAAAACAAAACAAWTTTTTTTACCTTAACCACAAAATCGGTGCTGAAGAAAAATTCATAAAATTCGCAGTGTTTTGTGAAAATAATAATTCCATGAAGAGTTTCTTAGAGCAACTGCAGCATAAGAACGTAAAAATGTCTAAGTAAAATGAATCACCTTAAAATGATATTCGTATTCACTCATCGTAAATTAATTTTGAGCTGATAAAATCGATGCCTTATCAATAAACTCTAGATATTTTCGTATGCTTACTGATTTTTACAAAGCTAATGTTTATTTACTTTGTTTTGTATATGATTGCATACCTTCGTTTTGCATTTAAGTCTTAAATACCCAACTCGCACTTAAGACAAATTGGCAACCGCAACTAGTATAAATCTATTGTATGTGTTTATGCGCAATATTTTTCTTTGAAACGTTTTGTTTGGCGTAAACGAATATGGATGACAATTACATTAGTTCACCGAATGACTTCCAGCACATGGAGGGCACTGAGTCGGTGGAATTCAAACGAACATTTGCACTGGATGGCATCGGTGAGGACGAGACCTTGCGACTGTATTTGCGTAAAGCGGGCTTATCCGACGAAATTGAGTACTTGACACCCGAACAGCGACGTGCCTTCATTTACGATATCATTAAGAGCAACAAAATGCCTGGATATTGGATGGTAATAATTGCATATGTACATTAATTTTTAGGGATTACTTGTTTCAATWAATAAATAAAAAGAAGTAACGTGAACAGCGAAGTTATAATCTTCTTTATTGGCGCAGACACCGCTTACGAGGTATAATATCCTTTAAGAATAAAAATTTCAATACAAGACCGATATCGGCGGTTGCGATAAATGAGCAGATTCTTATGGAGAACTGAACGTGTGCAAATTTTTAGAGCGGTATCTAAAAACTGAGGGACTAGTCGAATAAATACAGGCAGATAAACCGACATACCTAAATTGACTCAGTTCGTCACGCTGATCATTTATATACGTACATATGTGTATATATATTTTAAAGAGTCACCAACATTTCCTGCTGGGTAATTTAAACTTCGTGGGAAACTTCACATATTTTGTTGAGGGTACACAAATTTAGCCATGAAACGTTGTATTGAGGCCTGAAGACGATTTTTTTTTAATGACAACACGGGACAACCACCTGAGTCATATTATCTCATCCATGATATCATATCTACTAGGGTGGGCTTTTTATTTCTGATCTATACCATATAATCCAAAATTGAAAAGAAATTTCTTTGTTAATCTCGAATATCAACTGAGTTTTAAAATAAATATAACCCTTAAGAACAATTTTCTTTTATTCCTTTGAATGAATAAATGAAAGAGCTAAAAAACATATTGAACCAAACCACGTTTGGTCAAACCCTTCTCACACATATGTTTAAAATTCTCTCAGTGATATCAACAGCTCTTTCCTTTAAGTGTTCGCTCTCGAAGTGTTATCTGCACGTTAGCGTCGCGGTTAGAAGATTCTTGCCGAAACAATCAAAGCCAGTGAGGGTCGTCTGGAAATATAGCAATACTGACTCGGTTAACTACACAGGTATGTTTTTATGGGACTGTTTGTGGAATCTCCCAATGAGTAATCACTCATATCCGGCAGAACGACAAGAGCTATTAATATTGTTGAAGTAAGAAGCAAATAATRTATTATTGTTATGGCTTTATAACTAGCAGTCGGTAGGAAGGTAATATCGTACTTGTTAATATATTAAGGTTCTTTATTTTCAATATATTTCCCTAAGTTATCCATTTAGCAGATGAACTAATGTTTTTTTTAAGTTACTATCCTCTTAAAACAGTTATCAAACCTCCTCTTTCATTTTTCTTATATATGACTCTGTCCTTCCTGTAAAAGGCTTTCTTCCTGCCAACTAGCAAGTCACTTTCTTACGACAAAGAAAAGAATTTCATCTATGTYGAAGCCACATATAGTCTTTCTTTCTGCTACAGTGTTGTTTTTCTAGGTTATTAATTCTCGTGTTGTACCAAGTTATAATGAGTTATTTCGCATTTAGGATGTCTCTTTAAACTACATATACAGAAGTGGTCCGATAAGTACTTAATCTACAAAATAAAATAATCCGTTCTGCCGGATATGAGTAAAATTCGAATTTTCCCACTTTTTTTAAGCAAACAACACAGAAACTACCGAATTCTTTGGCATTTATTTAATGAAGATTATCCCTTTTAAATGTTGTCCGCGGCTACGTCGCAGATGGTACATCCGTTGAGTCCGATTTTCGATGACTTGTTCGAGTATTTCGATCGAAAGATACCCGTGATGTTTTGCACCAACTCTCCATTGCGAATAGCTCAGTAGACAGGTTATGTTGTCCATCAGTTAGGCAAAGCGCGCGAAACTCATATTTTACAGAAAGTAAATTTTCATAATAAAGTTGAAGGAGTTGTAAACGTGATGAAATGCCAAACAATACTGAACAAAAATAATATGATAGCTTAGCACGATACACACGTTATCTGTCGAAAAAGTGCTATTTCAAAAAGTATCWCTACTTGGATCATCCGTTATATATTATCCAAACGTTTTTTGATTTGTCTGCGTGATTTGCTGTTTTGGTCTTTCTATTTCATATTTCACACATGGTCAAAACAAAACTACGAACCCGATTCGCTTGAAATCTACCTATCTGAATTAGGCTGTATTAGGCTCAGTCTGCGAAAATACACGAAATTATATTTTGATCTCTTGCATTTCTGGCACTACCAAGATATATTAGTCACATAGAAGATATGAATTGAGGATCTAAAGGAACTGCAGGTTGACGAACCGCATTAAGGATCTCCGTTGAGTATTAAGGAAGTTGGCCGATATCTCTTTGCCTTGTTGAGAAATGATGCAGAGATTTTCCAGTGAAACTTTTCATTCAAACAATATACACTTCCCACGCCCAAAGTCATGTAACCATATATAGTATTTATATAAGAGTTTAGGATTGGACTATACAACTCATTATAAGTTGAGAGGATATGCCATAATTGTAAATATAATTATAGCAAACCTTTTATTAATAATTATTCACTTTATCAATTCATATCACAAACTGATAAATTTTCATTGTGCTAGTAAATGTCATAACGCATATCAGCGATTAACTCAAGTTGCTTCGAAATTATTCGACACTTACTCAAAATAATTGTATGTGGATATGTACATATGTATGTACTATGCGTTTTCATTGGGGTGGTTTGGTGGTACTATATACATATATATTGTAGATAAATAAATAATGTAAATATGCTGTTATAAATACTGTTGGAACTCATTATGGGAAAGTTAATATGTAATAAAGAAAGGTTATAAAGTTTCGGATGGATATACGGAAACGATTTAGCACTTAAATATCCTGTTTCTGTTTTTGGCTGATTTAGGTATTTCGATTCTGCTGGTTCCAAGAGATCTTTCGTTTTATTATTGTTAATTTTGTTGTAAATTCGGGTCTGTTCCTCTTCTTTTGTTTTGATCGATTCGTCAGTTCTTTTCCATCGCGGCATGGTCGTAAGTTATCGAGACATTGAAGACGGAGTCTCTGTCCCTTTTTCATATTGAGCTGGATTCTGCATGCTTAAAAAACTTTGGGTTTTCATGTTTAAAAAAGTACACTTTACAGACACGACTTTTTTCAGCCTTCCACAATGACTTCGCCATCACCATACAATTTATCATCAATAGCARCAACYAGYAGTCGTACATCACCACCACCGCCTTTACGCAAAGTCAGCGCCACAAGCAACAACAGCTCGATTCCACCGCCAACACTGGAATACGCCACTGTGAGCGCATCTTCGTCGAGTAATAGTTTAAAAAGTTTGGAAAAAAGTAGTCCTATTGTACCGCGTCGATATGAGCCGACACCTGTTACACCGCTTTCGCCCTCAACATTTGTGACCAGCATTAAGGGTTCCAAATACGAGATAAGTGGCCCGTTGAACTTTCAACACATAGCTGGCGATATGACACGAGATCGGACACGGAATGCATTCGATCTTACCATGACTATGAATGATAATGTATTGAGGAAATATATGCTGGAACGCGGCATAACGGATGAGGACCTGAAAGGCATGCGCAAGCAGGAAATAATTAAAAATATTGTGCAATCAAAGTTTACTTGGATGGTGAGATTTTAAAAACAGTCGAAATTTCTTTAATAAAAAATATATTTTGTTACTTCCAGCCACCTAAGCGTAATGCTAATGCCACATCAAGTCATCATCTACCCGATATAAAGTATGCTACTGTATCCTCCGCCAGCGATTATGGTCTAATCACCTCACCGAGGTTCTCACGATCGAAAAAACCAATGCATGCACCCCCGCCACCACCACCATCAAACTCAGTCCTAACAACTATACCGGTCACTAAACAAGAACCGACCAGTCAACCAATCCTAACGATTGAACCGATTACTAAACCACAACCAACCCCGGCTGCGGTACCGCCACCACCACCACCTCCAAATTCAAAAGACCCGTTTAAGACGGACACAATTACACAATCAAGTTTGAAGTTATTAGCCGCGAGTTTTGCTGATCCCAGGGATTTCCCTTCCATCGAAGATATTTATAGCAACAAGACTGAAATGGAAGCAACAGCGCGGCAAGCCTCTGTGCAACCGAGGCTGACTTTAAGGCAAGCGCCTCCTCCACCACCATCTGTGAAACAGACAACAATCACTGATGCACCACTACAGCCACCACCTCCATCTCTTGTTCAAGCCAACAAGAAAAAATCATCAGTAATTTACCATTCCAATCAAAGTTTGTATAGCGTCGATGAATGGGAAACTGAAGAAGATACTGCTGATAGTCAAATATATGGAAGATTGAATGCCGGCTCTAAAACGCCGCCGACACCCAGCGATAGCAATTTGTATGCTTCTATAAAACCAATAAATAAAAATAACCTTAAAATTAACGCGGACCTTGGAGGTTATGAAAGTGTTGGTGGTAGAAAACAGTTTACCGGACCACCAACACCACCAAAGCCTACGCTGAAGCCATCATTTGCTGCTCGAGCTTCTAAGGTGGGAGCACCTCCACCGCCAGCTAAACAAAACGTAGTTTCGAGAGTCCCTATACCTCGACCACCACCTCCTACTGGAGGTGCACCTATTCCTCCGCCACCACCGCCTCCTACTGGTAGTGCACCTATTCCTCCGCCACCACCACCTCCTACTGGAGGTGCACCTATTCCTCCGCCACCACCACCTCCTACTGGTGGTGCACCTATTCCACCTCCACCACCGCCTCCTACTGGAAATGCACCAAAGCCACCTCTTTTTGRTGGCGCATATATTCCACCGCCACCACCACCTCTTACTAGCGGTCCACTTATTACATCGCCATCTGGTAATGGTGCACCAATGCCACCGCCACCRCCTGCACTCAACTCTGCAGCAAATGGTATCAGGCAACCAACGATGCCTACATCTAAAAATAATGATATCGGTGATCCGCGTGGTGCGTTGTTAGATAGTATACGAAAGGGTGTAACATTAAAGGTATAGCATACCGTTATAAACGAACACGTTTTGTTTCTTAACTCTGTTATTGTTTTTGTGTCGTCCACAGAAAGTTGATCAGAAAGCRGCCACAATCAGCGGTATGAAGCCACGCGTCGAACGTAAGCCGCCAGCTACCGACTTCCTTTCCGAACTTAAACTGGGTATAACTCTACGTCGCGTAAAGGACAAGGCACATAACCCATATGCTGGTGAAGATCCAGATGAATCCCAAGCATAGGGAAATTACTTGTATATATGTATGTATGTATTTATGAGATTTTCATACAGAGAAATATCGAAACAAATTCAATGCTTTGTTTTAATGTTGAGATCTGCGATATTTATGATGAGTATCATAAATACCTTTTTATGCAGAAGACGTACTAGTCGAGTCACTAAGTGTGTTCATTCGGAACCTAACACATTCAACTGTTTTTTTTTACTCCCCAACATGTTCATACAGAGTATTATAGTTTTGTTTTTCATATGGTTGTTTGTGTCACCTAAAATGAATAAAGATAGATAGTGGGAGATCCATTTCGAGGTTCCCTACTTTTTTAAAGAAAAAAAAACACAAACTCTTTAAATTTAAGGGAAAATGTTTATTATCATTCGAAAGATCATTCTTTCGCATTAATTTTTTGAAAATTATCTCATTCAAATGTTGGCTGCGGCCACGTCTTAGATAGTCCATCCTTTAAGTCCAATGGCGAATGACACGCGTGTTGTTTTGCTACGAGGAACCCTCTGTAGATCTGGATTTTAAGAGAATCATATAATTAAGGCCTAGGTCCAGATTTACCCCAAGTCTCACCTCCAGAAACATATAATTCAGTTCAAAGCAATGGAAGTCAAAATCAGTCAATATAAAAGATTTTGCGGCGTAAAGCAGTAAAAGTACGATAAGGTGTGTGKCTATTTTAACAACGTGGTGTCAATAATATTCGGAAATAAACGATCGTCGCTGATCCTTACTGTGTAATTCTTTATAAATACTCCGGTTAAAAAAGTCGTTGTATATTCGTTTTAGGTAATACAATTTTTATTGTTTCAATTTATAAGTCCTAAGGCATAAGTATCGTTTAAAAATCTGATAATATGTGATGTCATTCTCAGGTCCTTAGTATTTGTGATCGGCTACAAATAGACTTTGTTCTGCTTTAAAGGGTGGTATGGAACCCGCAACATATTTACCACTTCTGGCCAGTGAACTCGCCTGTAAGAGTAAACAAAGATTGTGAATTAATAATCTGTTTTATGAATCATTAAATTCAGCATTATTTTACTTTAGCCCTCTTCTTAAGCTCGGCTTGACCAAGTGGTATGTTTTCTTTTTTGCCAGCCCAAGCTGCCATCGCCGATGCTTGTAGGGCACGTCCGTAAGAGAATGAAAGTTCCCAAGGTCGTTTCAAGTTTATAGTGTTTATTGCATTTAAATGCACTGTAGCCTCTTCCTCCGATTGACCGCCAGAAAGGAAAACGATGCCTTTAAATAAATTAAAGAAGTCGATCAATAGTTAGGGATATGTGTATATGTAAATAAAACTCGAATTGATATACGCAAAGATTTCTTTGAAATATCGAAAAATAAGCAAGAATATAAAGTTAGTTTCCTGAAGAGATCGTTTCATGCATCATAAGGGGGGAAAATGGACCGTCAAAGTTATGATAGAAAAGCATCTTAATACAATATTACACGGTAAGATCTTGTGGAAATTCGTACACGGACCGTAAGTTGTTTATAAAAAGTGTCTAGATAAAATATTTTCCGAAAATAATATGAGTAAGGTAATGCTCCGACCACAGTATGCTTGGAAAATATCTAAAATCCAAAAATTACTAGATATGGAAGAACTTAGTCGYCATAAATCTTGTGTTCATACCTGGTACAGCAGCTGGTACTGCTCTAAGAAAACTTTGCACGGTTACATAAGCTACTTCCTCAGGTGAATTCCTTCGACAAGAGCTTTGACCGGGTAGTATCATATTCGGTTTCAGCAGGGTGCCCTCCAAGAATACGTGATGATCATTCAATGCCTTGTATTGAGCGGCCAAAACAGTTTCCGTCACCTTTTTTCCATGAAAATGGTTAAAATATGGACGTATATGTGTGTAGAAATATCGCGTACCTTTTGAGCTCTAATTATATCATGATCTCCATCGATCAGCACTTCTGGTTCCACGATTGGCACAAGACCCTGCGACTGGCATATGGAGGCGTAACGCGCGAGAATATTCGTATTCTCCATAATCGCCTGAAAGGAGGGTGTCTGTTTGCCGATCTTCAAAACACAACGCCATTTTGCAAAATCACAACCATCCCTTTTGTATTTGCCGCAACGGCAATAGAGATCATCAAGACCCTCCGTGGTGCCCTCATCTAAAGTACCAGGCAGCGGTACAATGCCTTTATCCACTTTTATACCGACAAGTATGCCACGATGACGCAGCAAATCCCCAAATGTCTTGCCATTATCTGCTTTTTGGTAGAGAGTTTCGTTATGCAAAATAACACCCGATATGTAGTCCTGTAGGTTTTCGGTCGTAAACATGAGTTGGCGATATTGACGTCGATTTTCTTCGGTRTTTGGTATATTGTATGGTGAAAATCTCTTTTCCATGCTGCCGGGCGATTCATCGGCCGCCAATATACCTTTGCCCGGTGCCACTATCGCATTGGCGATGCGRCGGAGCTCTTCTTGTAACGCGCACGGTATATATTGGTAGTTGGTGCCCATTTCTTAGATAACTTGGAATTTTGTTAATTTGCCAAATTTTTTTGAAATTTAATGAAATGTAATTGTTTTCTGCATAAAATTTGATGTTTTTAAAAAACTATTGTTTCTTTTTAATTATTTGAATGAACAGAAGGTGGCCMAATTCAAAATATTAATATTTTTAATCGAACTTCGAAATTGATAGTAAAAAAGAGTAGTAGAAGAGTCTAAGAACTGTCGGGTCGGGAACTGACTGGGATTTATATCCGGTAAGCACTAACAACTCGGCAACTTTGGCCAAATGGTGCTCCTATCACAACGACTGTAGCACCATCATTGGGAGTGAGTCCAAGCGCTCTCCAGCAAGCTCTTCTTAAAAGTGGAATAAGCAACATTATCTAATGAGAGGCACAGGCGAGGAGTCCCGTTATTATTAAAAAGATTGATGATCGTTAATGGTTAGGCTTGAGGAGACGTGCTATGAAGATTTTTGTGTAGCCATCACGTTGGATGGTACAACGAWCAAAATATCTCTATGACGGTCAAGTTATAAAATATATTTTATTTAAATTATTGTAAATTGCTTTTRGTGTATGTTTAACTACCAAATTAACTCTATGAAGTAGTATGTTTCTTCTGTAAATAATAAAATTCTGGCTTAATATATACGTAATACCGATAATTATTTAATTAATTATTCGAATTAAGTTAATTAAGTTGTTAAGTTTTTTCTAACGTATTTGTACATTGTGAACTTAGCTGCTGCAAATATATTTGATAAATCAGTTTTGTTTCTTTTAAATCACTCTGTATTCAGGCACGTCATTGTAACAATGATTGTAACCGCCGATAAAAAAAAGAGGAAGCAGCGTAAATAAATTGTAGCCGTTTGAAGAAATGTTTCCTTTAAGTTCGCAAAAAAAATTTTGGACTTTTGCAAATGAACAACAGCTTAGTGAATTACGTTTGCAACAAAATGTTAATTACATCAATACTCATGGCGCTGAAATGAATGTAGGTACAAGCACAACTAAAGGAATCTCGTTTATTTTTTTACACTTGTAGCAGGAGCAACGTGAAGCTTCCTTCCTGCTGCCTGTGGAAGAACGTGTACTAATTAAGCAATATGAATTGTATTTAAATGATTTCTGCCGCCGCTTCGAACCGCCTATGCCAAAATGTGTTGTCGGCACTGCATTCCATTATTTCAAACGTTTTTTTCTGAACAACACACCAATGGATTACCATCCTAAGGAGATATTGTAAGTTTGGCGTACAATAATAACRGCTGCCATATTCATAAGTAATTGTTTTATTTCAGAGCCACGTGTGTCTATTTAGCCTGCAAAGTTGAGGAATTCAATGTMTCCATTGGTCAGTTTGTGGGTAATATAAAGGGTGACCGGAATAAGGCAATGGATATTATACTCTCGAATGAGTTGCTCATGATGCAACAACTCAATTACTATTTAACTGTGCACAATCCCTATAGGCCGGTCGAGGGGTTCCTCATCGATATTAAGGTTGTGCTGTGATGTTGCTGTTAGTTTTGTTAATGTTTTAAATATAATTTATAGACTCGCAGCAATATGTCGAATCCCGAACGCCTGAGGCCACATATAGATGAGTTTATTGAAAAGACGTTCTTCACAGACGCTTGTCTGCTATACGCGCCCTCACAGGTAACATCTGCAGTTTTGCAAAGAAATKAATCTGTCTGCATGTAATACAATTGCATTCGTTTTTATACAGATTGCACTGGCAGCTGTGCTGCATGCAGCTAGTAAAGAACAAGAAAATCTAGATAGCTATGTCACTGAAAATTTATTTGTGGCGGCACGTGATAAATTGCCCGCGCTCATAGAGGCTGTGCGCAGTGAGTTTYGTTTTGTTGTTTTCTTTATTCATTCCATGKGTTATTGATTTAATAACAATTCTGTAGAAATACGCTTTATGGTCAAGGCATATGAGCTGCCATCGAAGGAAAAAGTAAGAATGATTGAAAAGAAGCTGGAAAAGTGTCGCAATCAAGAAAATAATCCTGACAGTCAAATGTGAGTATATGCGACTTGCAATTGGAAATTTTTTTAAATATATTATTGTCGATCACTAAATGCCTTTTTTTATGGTTTATGTTTTTATATATTATTGTTGATCTATAAATTCTTTATTTATATTTAAACTTTGCAGCTACAAAGAACGCATGCGCAGAATGCTCTGTGACGATGACTTGGACCTGCCCTCAGAYTCATCATATCACGTCGCAGACTCTAGTGCAGACGTGTCTATGCTTAATATGAGTCAAGAATCTGTATAATTTACAGTTGAGTGCTTTATTATTAGTTTTTTTTGCTATGTACTGTTATTGTTAATGATAAAATAAAGAAAGTAAATGGAAAGTGACAACAAAAAATAAAAATAGTTCATAACAATTGTGAAATTTAAGGAAGAAGTGAAGTTATCGAAGTCATTTAATCAGAATATTGCGTTTTGAAATGTATTTGTTTAATACTTACTTGCTTTCATACACGTGTAACTTGTTCATTGAAAACAATACTCCAAACACGAACAAACATGATTTTCTTATTTTAACAATATTTTTATTGCATCTGATACTACACTGTCGTCTGTTTTGGACACAAAACATTAATAGAAGTGATTTTTTCCGTTAATATTATTAACAATACGTGTATGTGATACATACATGTGTAATCAATATTTCTGAGACTAATTTTATTTGCCTCAAAACAACATTTGTTGCTTACGCTTATAATGCAAGTTCAATGCGGTATTTATTTTTGTGTTTTATGTGGCATTAAGTATGCTTATGAGGGCTTTCAATTACACATAAGTATATATTTAAGATATATTGACGTTACTTAATTTTTTGCGTGTGAAGGTTTTACTGTTTTAATCTTTTATGTTGTGTTAAGGCTTAGTAATTACTTTCATGGTACGATTATTTCTATGTCATACAACAATGTGTAGTATTGAGTATTTTTTTTAAGCCTTTTTTATTTTAAAATTTATTTGTCTTTCTCAATATGCAAATATCTTTTTTTATTCATATTCTTATAAGCTATAACTAATGCATAACAAATGTTTAGAACTTTTTCGTCTAATATTTAATGTGGTGTTAATTTATACTATTGATAACAAGTTTTTACAAATTATGTTAAGCTTAGTATAAAAAATTATGCTTTTAATTACGGAAGTCTCAAAATAGCCTACTTTGAATGGAATCTTAAAGATATTGTAGTTTCTTTATACAGATTTCCAGCATTTTACAACAACTTTTTCATTTTCAAAACCTAATTTTAAGAAAAAAAAATATTTTTAAGCCTGTTGTTATTTTTGTTGTTGGACCGAACTAAACATAAAGGTTTTCAATAATTAGAAGAGTGGAAATATTTTGTTTGGTAAATATTTTTTTGAATTGAAATTTTTTTCGAAATCACAAAACAAAGCGGGTGTTAGAGTTTATTGTTCGAACGTTGTTATATGGATTTTTTGTTATATTTTAATGCTATAAACTGCATTTTTTAATATAGCAGTTATACCTTATAACGTTTTTGAAAATATTTTTTCCTTTTTGTAATATTTATAAGATTTTAAAACATTTCTCAATAGTGAGTCGTTTTGATAATTTCAAAATATCAAAGTTAAAATGAAAGCTTTGACTAACGAATTTTCAAGTTCGAAAAAATGACAAAGAAGTTCAGTTTAAACTGTTTGTATAAGTAAAGTTATTGTAAAAGGTTTGAAATATCAATATTAAAGTGAAAGCTTTTTCTTATGAATTTTTAAGTTCGAAAAAAGCATGAAGGCTTGAAAGTTCCGTTCCAAAATTTCAAATAGCTCGAAAGCATAAATTTAATTCTTTCATATCATGTTCTTTGTATAATTTATTAAATTTCAATTTCTTAAGCTTTTTGTATAGTTGCTAAGTGGGGAAAGTCGAAACATTAATGCATTATTGATYGGCTCTCAATTTTTTTATATTTTATTTATACTTTATGCATTCGCGCTAAATAAATAAATATTTTGGCATGGAAACTTTTTTATGAAATTTAGTAACTTTTGCAACAAGTTGTATTCTCAAAAAAAGTATATATTATAACAGTAATAACAACCATTAAATCAATTGTTTATTTCTTAATCTAAACCTAAAGAATTTTTGTTAAATTTGATTTTGCTGAAAATATATTACTTATTTCTATTGCAGA